TGCCTGCCGTAGTACCTTGATCTGGACAGCCAACAACTCTTGAAACTCTCTCACAGCTGGAGGCACTTGCAGCAATAGAAACCAGCAATCCTTTGGATGCTGAGCCCTTTGAGCCAGTACAAGCGGAGAAATGACCAAGCTCTCAAAATCTTGCAGAAAGCTACTTAACAGAGGAACGGGCAGTCTTATTTAATCTTATTTCCAACTGTCTCCCTTCGTCTCTGTTCTGCGCTTTGCAAAAGCACAGCTACCCTTTCTCAGCAAATTCCAGATACACAGTTGATACACAGCGTGGTTCAAAAATGTTCAAAAGCCAGGATTTTGCTCGCACTTACAAATCTTACAAGGTTTGCGACGGTTTCTTGGACAGAGCATCCAGGTGCCTTGAAGTATGCCACCAAAGGCACTGCCAGCAACATGCCCGTGGGACCCCAAATGAACCTTGCATTTCCACCAAGCGAATTCTTCAATTTGAAAGTCCTTTGGATTTTCTCAACACAATAAGGAGTACTCATACTCTCAAATCTAGAATGAAGAGTGTCTTCGAAAACCAAACATAGAGGACATTTTGACTGAGAGGCATCTCTGTAATTTTTCACTGGAAGTGAAACTTCCGACAGGTTCGAAGACATGTGATTGAATGCTTAGATGTTGACCCGAAGAAGGTCACTGCCATGAGGATGACAACGGGGTGCCTCACTCTGTGTGGCCGCGGAATACCAAGCAGTTGCAAGTCTGAAGAACCACGCGCATGGATTTTCACAAAAACATCACGCGCTAAATTGGTTAGTGTTCTTTCATTTTGGTTCACACGGGAAAACCAACCAAGAGCCAAGCATCTTCATTAGCTGATCTGCTTCAACCAGTTTCACCTTTCAAGGATTCATGCATGAACCAGGTGCGGCATAGCAAAAATGGAGAAAAAACATAAAAAACATTGTCGTTAGCGCAAAAAAAATCAACTCGATGTCAAATCACCGCAATGCGGCAGCGCATCACTTTCTTCCATAACTTCACCCAAAATTCTGTGTGGACATTGCCTCGACTACATTGGCGAAGACAAACTTCAGCCCAAGTTGCGCCAAGGTTGCAACCTCAAACTGCATGTGGACAAACTGTTAACAAAATGTCAACACGGGCGTCAAATGAAGCAACTCACAGCCGGAGGATACAACGAGGCCAATGAATTGGAAAAGTTGAAAGAAAAACGCATGAACAGAACCAATTGAACAGTGCCTGAACATGAAAAAATGGTTTGTTAATGTTACCAAACGCTATCGCCCCGCCGAACTGTATTTTGCCAAGCGTCAAAGAGGGTCATCCCAGGAGATTCCAGTCGACTGGAGTGCATTACCGTGGAACGTGTGCAGGGGAACAAAAACACCGCGGAACTGTTTGTGAAATTCCGTGACATCACTACATCATCATCATCATCATCATCGTCATCATCATCATCATCACCACCACCATCATCATCATCATCATCACTGCATCATCATCACCATCATCACCACATCATCATCAGCATCACCATCATCACCATCATCACCACATCATCGTCAGCATCATCAGCATCATCATCACCATCATCACCATCATCACCATCATCACCATCATCACCATCATCACCAACATCATCATCATCATCATCATCACTGCATCATCATCATCATCACTACATCATCATCAGCATCATCATCATCATCATCATCATCAGCATCATCATCATTATCAGCACTACATCATCATCAGCATCATCATCGTCATCAGCATCATCATCATCATTATCATCACTACATCATCATCAGCATCATCATCATCATCAGCATCATCATCATCATCAGCATCATCATCATCATCGTCATCATCATCATCATGCTCATCATCACCATCATCATCATCATCATCACCATCATCATCATCACCATCATCATCATCATCATCATTGTCATCATCATCATTATGGTCATCATCATCATCATCACCATCATCATCATCATCATCATCATCATCATGTCAATTCTATTGTTTCCGGAGAAGTGGGTCAGACCGTGCTGGCCTATCGAAGAGTATGACCGGCGCTGGCAGAATCAGGGCTACGATGGCCCCCACCTCAGAAACTTCAGACATTACCTGGAAATGATGACGGAAAAAAGTCAACGGTTGTGAAACATTGTGAGTCCGTAAAACTTGCCTTAAAGTTACAACACCACACCGAGGCACCGGTCAAAACTACTTTGAATGGGGACATGAATGGAAAAACACGGGCAACTTTGGAAAACATGGAAAGCAATTGTTTCGGAAGAACCGAACCCATAACGCCCAAGGCCTCGGGGACGAAACTCAACAGGAACGCGAAAAGTCCAAAGGCTGGTGCCAGGTCCACGCCTCCGACGTGACGTGAGATCATTGGGTTTTGAAAGATTGCTTTTGAACCATCACTATCATCACTGAATGAAAACCGCAGTCCCTCTGCAAGGCAGAATGTTTTTTTCTCCATCCAACGGCTGATCTCTGTCTCGGTCTTGTTCTCACTGCCGCTTCAGTTCACCAGGTCTGGTGCGTACTCAGGCAATGCTCCATGCTCCATGCCCCGTGTCTAAACGCAACGACCATTCCTACGTTAAAAAAACTACCGACAACGATTTCTTGGCATTCCTACGTGTGGGGTGGCATGGAAAGGTGCTGTGCTTGGTTGGCTCTCACCTGTGGTTGCTGTCAAACTCTGGAAAACAAATGCGCAAATCGCAAGATTCCTTAACTGATTGCTTTTGTACCCACCGGTTTAGGTTTCCCTACAGTACATCCAAACAGGTAATGTTTGGCCTGAGCAATAAAATCAGGTCGCAGACATTACTTTTGCTTGGTTGGGAGCAAATACAGTGAAACAGAACTGCAGAAGCCTTCGGCCATCTTTCGGCCACATTCTCCGCAAATCAAACACCTGTAAAAGTTGGTCCCGCAGCCTCGCTCCTTTGGGAACATGTTTTTCAGTTTGTCCAGCAAGACATACCTCTTCCACTGTTTCCTTGTTTCTGCAGCCGCCGCCGAGTAGCAATCTGGCTGATGTTGAAGCTGCTGGCCTTCTTCGTTTCCTTCGCCACTTCAAGTGCTTAATTACTTACCAAGCTGAGGTTGGCGTCGAGGCCTGGTCCAGGAGATGGGCATGGTTGAAGGTGCTGGCCTTAGGGTGCAGCGGGTGATGGCAAGGGTATAAGGGCCAAATCTTAACCATTCCCGCCGTCAGCATGCAGGATGCGTATCATATGGATTGGCTGCGCCCGTATCCTGCAGAAGACAACTCCATCTTAATCAAGTGCCAGGTGTCTTTGGACGGGATTGCAGCCAGCTTGCACTTAACCAACTGGGCACGCTGCGTCATGACCGTGTGCTAAGCGAAGGCGCCGACGACCGGCCTCGGTCAGTGGAGCAAGTGCTCTTTACGTCTTCTTTCCGTTGCTGGTGGAGGTCATGGTCCAGGAATAAGCACAGAGAGCGCAACGGGACTATTTCCACCGATTGGGTTCCTCCGCTTAAAGGTCCGGTGCACGCCGCTTGCATCATATGGGCCAAAACAAGAGAATGACCTTGCTTGCCACGTTAGCACCCCAAGAGAAGAAAGCGAGTGAGCTAGCAATTTGATCAGCAGGCTGACTTCCTTCTGAAGATCGGCATCAACAGAAGACCAAAGCTTCATGCCTCAAAGCCTCAAGTTGACTGCGGCAATCATTTGAAGCTGTTCAATTGCTTTCCTCACAAAGTGTTTATGATCAGCGGGAAGGAGGAATGCTTATCTGGACTTCAGCCTTGCAGAAATCCAAGCTTGAGCATCTGCGTTCAATCAGCTTTTTCGCAATTTTCCCGCATAAAGTAAAATCATTGTTGTCCACTTGTTCCTGTTTTGGCTTGCTTTTGTCGCGCATATCTCATGATCTCTCATGTCTCATTGTTGCCTCTGTCGGACAAACATTTTCAACCTTTTTTCGCACGGTTTTCCATTTCGAGAAGATGAAAGCATCATTGGACAAGCCGCAAGCCCTTCCGGACAGCAGGGAAGCTGGTCACTCCCAACTTAATTCATCACTCTTCCGCACCGTCCCTCTCACAAGATCGGCCAGCCCCATCCTCACCAGAGCCGGCACCTCGAAGACTTGGCTGTTGACCAAGCAAATTATCTTGTGGTGAAGCTTACTTCAAAGAAAAGCGAGACAGGTACTTTCTCCAAGTAGCGCCCAGGCGCAATGATATCTCTACTCCAAGGCGAGCGCTGCGCAACCATGGGTTCTGGGTTTAAAGGTTGCTCGAAGGCACCAAGGGACGAAGCAGCGCAGGGGAGCCGCAGAGGGGCAATCCATTTTTTTTTGCACAGTCTGAGCATGCTCGTCTTAGGATGTCCAAAATTTACAAATTGTTGGTTAAAGATAATTCCATCATGTATCACCATGCGCTCAGCTCCTTGATGTCACTGCAATAGATCACTTCAAACTGGTACAGTATCAGGCAAGCATCCTCTGTATTGTCCACCAGCGCCACATCGTGAGCACAAGTTTCAGGCGCCAGGCATCAGAACCAGATTTGAGCAAAACCATCCCTGACGCCTCCCACACGGAGGGGCCCACGAACATGACGCAACAAGCCCACGCAGCCATCTGGACCAGTTGAAACAAATACGCAACCAACGCCACTTTGCACTCAATCTCTGGTCGCCCTTGGGCTTGGCCATGGTCGCCCTTGGGCTTGGCCATCAGCTTCTCAGTCTCTGGTTGCCCTGGGGGCAAGCACCCTTTTCTCTCAGCAGCCATCGCTGGCCAGACATTGTCACCACAACATCATCTTATCTTCTTCTCTTTCTCCTCCTCCTCTGGCTGGTCCATCCCTGGCCCTGCGCCCTTGAGCTCACAATGAAGGGATCAAGTTCTCCAGGCTCGAGCGGCTCCTTTGCCTGGCGGGGTTGGCGAACGCTTCTAATTCTGCTCAGCCGCTCCTCCTCCGTTGCCGGCCCTGTGTCTGCATCTGTGGCCTGTTCTCAGGCGGTGAAGTTGGCACCTGAGAGGCTGGGGTTGAACCATCCTCATCTACTGCGCGACTGTGCCATCTGGCTGCGTCTCCCGGCTGTCAGCTCCTCTTCCTTCGCCGCTGTTGCCAACATGGGCTCCTTCAGGCTTTCAGCCATGGCAGCACTTCTGGGTACAGCTTGAGCCTCTCTTTGACGGAGGCAGCTGCTGAGAATCCAGTGGAACACAGCACATCGGACACAAAGCTGTTGAGAAAGCCGTTGACTTACCATGGCCATCATCCATGGGTCAACAGACTCAACAGACACCAGCAAACATCAACAGACTTCAGAAGCACAAACAAACTTCTGAATGGCATAGCCGGATAGTTCAATCCAACCCTTTGCCTAGTCCACCAGCTACACCCCCATCCCAATGTTACCATCCACTGCGGCCTAGACTGCCGAGCAACACACCGACACAAAGGCCTGTGCATCGCGGAAGAGCTTCGCTACCCAGCACTCCCGAAAACTTTCCCTTTTTTGTCCTCCCTCCCTCACTCTCTTTGCCGTCACTGGCATATTTGGGTAATGCGGATCAATTTGGCACCTGTCCTACAAACCCTATTGGGCCCTCGGGCCGTAACCACAACATGCCAGGCCCTTCAACAGGATGTAGCGGCGGAAAAGCTCCTCTGCTGTGGCGAAGACCTCTACAAAAAACCAACCAGCTGTGGAGTCACACTTTACTTTTCTTGTAGCCTCCGTCGCTGCAACTGCCACTATCCCTCCATAGTCTATGAGGATCTGTGTCTGCTGAAGTCCTCCCAACCGAAGCTACCAAAAGTCACAAGTTAATTATCCGTCCTCCATCTGGGTGCCCAGAGGCCTGAGTTCAAACTGAGTGCTGCAGCTGTCCAACAATGGCAACATGTCCGTAGCTTCGCCTTACTCTCAATCTTGCCAACCTTGAGCGTGACTGAGGCGCCAAACATAGGGGCGGCAAGCCAGAAAGCTATGTACAAGGCCTCGAACATTGCCGGAGCACATAAATGTTCATGAACCTTCCCCTGGCACGTTTGATAGAATTTGCTTGCAAGACCTGTCAGAAGGATCGGCCAGTTGACGTTCTACGCGGCATATAGGTGCATGAAGAATCTCGGAATCCCCCTCTCTGATTGTACCCAACATCTTCAGCGCAAAGAGAGAAGCACATCTGGGCTAGAGGCCATCATGAGGAACTCTAAAATCCTGGCAAGGAACATGAAGATACGTGAGGTATAGATTATCGAAGGAAGTTTAGAAGTGAAACTTCCGACAATATGGACAGTTGAAAAGCAGAGGTGAGAAGAGTCAGAAGAGACAAGATCAGAAGAAAGAAGAGGTAGATGCGCGAAAAGATAGGAAAGTCGCGATTCACTGTGTTTTTTCCAATGATTTGTGGCTCCGGAGGGTCGAAAAGTAGGCTCGCTAAAGCGGCGGGTGCGGAGCCAGCTGGCCAGATGAGAGATGAAAAATTGCACGCCGTTGTGGCGCGAAGCACATTTCCAAGTCAAAATGGACAAAACACTAGAGGAGCGGACCACTTTTGGAAGTTGCGATGTCGAAAAAGTGCACGCCGTTGTGGCGCGAAGCACATTTCCAAGTCAAAATGTACAAAGCACACCACGTTCGGACCACTTTTGGAAGTTGAGATGTCGAAAAAGTGCACGCCGTTGTGGCGCGAAGCACATTTCGAAGTCAAAATGTACAAAACACACCATTGTCGGACCACTTTTGGAAGTTGAGATGTCGAAAAAGTGCACGCCGTTGTGGCGCGAAGCACATTTCGAAGTCAAAATGTACAAAACACACCATTGTCGGACCACTTTGGAAGTTGAGATGTCAAAAAAGCGCACGCCGTTGTGGCGCGAAGCACATTTCGAAGTCAAATGTACAAAACACACCATTGTCGGACCACTTTTGGAAGTTGAGATGTCGAAAAAGTGCACGCCGTTGTGGCGCGAAGCACATTTCGAAGTCAAAATGTACAAAACACACCACGTTCGGACCACTTTTGGAAGTTGAGATGTCGAAAAAGTGCACGCCGTTGTGGCGCGAAGCACATTTCGAAGTCAAAAGTGTTAAAAACTGACGGTCTCGGACCACTTTTGGAGGTTCAGATGTCGAAAAAGTGTCGAAAAAGTGCACGCCGTTGTGGCGCGAAGCACATTTCGAAGTCAAAAGTGTAAAAAACTCAGGGTTTTGAGCCTTTTTTGACGTGAAGATGTCGAAAAAGTAGACATTGATTAACTTAACTAACTTGACTAACTTAACTAACTTCACTAACTTAACTACCCTAACTTCGACGACAAACCAGTCAGACAAAAAGCCAGCCAACATCAACAAAACACCACCCCAACCACCACAACCCCCCCCCCTACTACACAACAACTACACAACAACTACACAACAACTACAACTACAACTAGAACTACAACTACAACAACTACAACAACAACAACAAC